CAATATTATAACCTGCTTGAAGTGAGAATGCTGTTTCCACTTGTTAACAAAAGTCCTAACAAAATCACTATCCCTTACTGTAATAGTATCAGCTTCAACAGCGTACAGCACACAAACCAAACAACTCACCGCGAGTCAATGAATGAACAGTGATCATAGAACCACCATCAGCTGAGCCGCAGTAGCGCTTCTATTGGACAAAACCCTTATTCCAGAGCCAGTGTAGAACAGTGCCCAACCAATAGGGAAGAAGCTGCTCCGGAAACACCACACTGGGAACCAATCGGAATAGGTCTCTGCTATGCGGTCAACCAATGGGGAAACGAGGACTAAACAGTGTTCATGATACTTTTTTGTAACCCCGCTCCAGCAGCTTCTCCACTAGGTGGCGCCCCAGAAACCCAGAGCCCCCGATCACTGTGCAGCGCTTACTGCTCTGGAATAAAGCACAGGCACATCAACAAGGGGCAGACTGCAGAATCGTAACCTAAACCCAGTTCCTCAACCTTTTCCACCTGTTACTTTGTCTAATGAACATGGAAGTAGATGCACATGTGAAATCTACATAGAAAACAACACTTAAGAGGGCATTTTGTGTCTCCAGGACTTAAGGGCCTTACATGGGGATCCTTCTGTATGGAGTTTGCATGTTTCCTTGCATCTTTATTGGCTCTGGTTATCTTCCAAAGACATGCTGGCTAGGTTATTGAGGTCTCTAAATTGTGTCCATCCTTGTGTGTGTGTATGAGCTTTGTGATGGACTGATGCCCCATCCAGGGTATATTCCATCTTTAAAGGCCACTTTTAGAATAGGCTACAAGACCAGGAACAAGCATATTTCTAATAAAAGCCTTTAAATAGCTAGCAGCTATATCACCCTGCAGCTCACCTCTGGCAGCCCACTGAAGCTCAGCAGGTGGTAGCCGATCAGTACCTGGATGGAAGACTCCTGGGAAAACTAAGGTTGCTGCTGGAACAGGTACTAGTGGACCAGTATGGGGAGCTCACCCTGCAGTCTGTGTGGGTCTTAATGCCCCAGTACAATGATGTAGACAGCATACTGTAACTCTGGGTTTCTGGGTGACCAGACTGCGCCCCAGTACCTTCTCCTGCTGGATCTTGGTCTCAGTGTAGTAGTCGATGGGGCGGCGGGCATAGGGCAGGTCCTCGCTGGCGTTTTTGATATCGGTGCCCTCAAAAACCAC